TTTTGTTAATTGTGTAACATTTTGCTACTAAACTATGTGTTCAAGTATTGGTTTGTAGGGATTTGGTTGATTGGTTATAGGATTTCATCATGAGCGTACTGATGAAGAGTCCCAAACTAGGACGAAACAGCTGTCCAGTACTCCAAGGTTTTCCAGTGGTTCTCTAACCAATGTCAGCTCATGATGAAATCCTGTAACCAATAAACTATGTGTTATTAGTCAAGATTTCCGACCATCTGTAACTATTTTGGGAAATTCAATACGACAAAATGCTGAATATTAATTGATTTGTTAAAAACAACGAAAGTGTTATTTGAAACAGTTTGATACATGTCGATGAACATCAACAGTACATTGTAAGCATTTTGTGCAACGGCCTACTAATCTGATGGATTATTAGTCTAATGTTTAAGTTTATCTAAAGTTAAATTATACAAAGTGAGCAACAAAAGACAAATAGTTAATAGACTGACTGTGTCAAAATTTTGTTTTAGTAAATTAGGTGCCTCTCGAGTGGAATCCCAATGGGAAGCGACGAGTTGGTCGTCGGTGTAAGTGTGACATGGAGGAGGTCGTGTGAGTAAGAGATGAGAGACTATGGGTAATCGTGCACCCAGATGAAGAGGATGGCAGAAAATAGAAGAAAGTGGAGGTGTGTTGTTAAAGCCCTATGTTCCGCTTGGAACCCAAAAGAATAATAATATAATAATAATAAATTAGGTGCCCAGTGTTCCTGGTGAAACAGTGAACTGCTATTCAAATGTCAAGCATTAGGTTGCAGGACATTTAAAATATATTTTGTTTTACATAGTGTAAAGTCTTCATCATAACTGTAATAAAAGTAATTATAATGACAAGCAAACTTTGGAATTGCAACTCATTTAAAAATACTTACATATTCAAGAATATTAGTTCACTAGTTTCATTTAAATTTGATGAATTCTGTTACTGATGTTGTGCTGTTATTATTATTATTGTCATTGTAACTATTGCAAACAACTTAGAGAGAAAGAGAGTAATTTATACTACATCAAAGTTATGACAAGGTATCAAACATTTTTCATGGCATTTCCTGAATACTTTTGGCAAAAACAAACAACTTGAGACCTTATTCTCTTGAGATCCCTAATATTTTAATGTCAAAAAGAAGTCATATGCTGAGTCAGGAAACAGCAAATCTGTCACATGTTTGTGAATTGAAATTACTACAGAACACAACACCTTCGCTTTTGTTAACGTTTCATCAGAAAGTCAAGAATTGTTAGTGATTGATGCAGCTGCCAGAATTGTTAGCTAAACCATGATTTCACCTGAAGTTGCCTATAAGTTGAATCGAGTTCACGTACTTACTGAAGTCTGCTATTGCATGCATGTTTTCGACTGATATATTTAATTTTCAAGAGTTTTTTGTAGGGATTTGATCTGTTTCAAGTTTGATCACGGAGTGATATAGGTTAGAGAACCACTGAAAACCAGAGAGTAATAGACAGCTGTTTCGCCCTTCTTTCATCATCCTTCATCGACATTACGCACCTACTGGGTTTTAGAGCCAGGACCTTCCGGTTACAGGGCAACCTCTTAGACGCACTGTCGACGAAACGCACACTAGGACGAAACAGCTGTCCAGTAATGTTCGGTTTTCATTGGTTCTCTAACTGTCTTCACTCCGTGACCAAACTTAATGTGTTGAAGATTGCATATTGTTTTTCCTTTACATTCCTAGTGGAACATAGGGCTTCAAGATAGAAGCTTCAATTTTCGGTGGCAGTGGTGTTAATTTTTACGGGATGGGGCTGCCAGCCTCATGCCCAGCCTTCCCTCTTTACCAGTCTTATTACTGACTTAGCAAGGTTTGGGGAGTGCGTCGGTGGCCGGGAATCAAACATCGGACCACATGCGTGATCGGCGAACATTCTACTGCTATGCCACCGACGCTAGGATTATATTAACATTAGCTAAATTTGAAGACCACATTATGATTTATTAGGTATTAAGTTCAGTGAAACAAGCTATCGCGTGTGAAAATGAACTATGTTTCCAGGGAATTTTCAGTTACTGTGTGCGTCGGTGGCACAGTGGTTAGGACTCTCACCGACCATGCACATGGTTCGAGGTTCGATCCCCTGCCGACGCACACCCGATATCTATGGTCGGCCTGCAAAATTTGGGCTACCGATATCCATGCTGAAAATTCCATATTTGTACTGAAAATACGGTGTGGCATCAAGCTGTAATCAAAATAAAATAAAAAATACTTTTGTTATTATTCAGAAGGCACTTTACGTATAATTCGTTATGTTTCCGGTTTTTATTAGCTATTTTGAAATGCTTGTGACCTTTGTATCAGAGTTACATGTATGTACGCAAGATAAGTGGACTTTGTCTTGCGACCTGTAAGTTTCTGTTGCTTATTCAACTTTAATTTTTGGAAACTTACATTTTAAATCAGCTGAGTAACTACTGAATTTCAGTGAAGGGACTAAATTTAACAAACTTAAAGAAAGTGCTCAAATTTTTTTTATCGCTCCGTTAGTAGTTTCTTGAAGATTACTGACCGCTAAACAAACAATTCCTTTTAAGTCATTCATTGACAAAAATAAAAAAATATTTTAGTGGAATAATTTTAGTTACGTAACATGAAGCAATCCAAATACTTACTCGAGAATACTAAATTCTATGAACAGACGTAAAGATGAATCATCTTTAAAACATTAGAAAAAACGGAGCGGAGAAACATATTCCAACTCACTGGGTTCCTCATCAGCTGCTATACACCAATACCCATAGTTTTTTAAACAAAATTATGTCGGTCATGTGGTTATGTTTTTTCATCCATTCGGGGTCCAGGTGCAGAATAAGGCTTCAAGTTTCATCTCTGAAGTTTCAGCAGCATAAATTAACCTGTTTATGACTAAACAATCCGTTGTTAAGTGATTTTTAATCTGAATCTGCGAATAACTTGAATTACACTGATTTGTTCTAGTCATATTTACATCCTAAGAAAATGCACCTTGTGCATAGAAATAACATAGACTATCTTGTTGTTGTTATTGTTGTTGTCATAATTAAATTCCAACCTGTCCAAGTTTTCACTTAGTTGATTGTTTCCTAATTAATCAATCTTGTTTCTAGTTCTCTTAGCCATCGTCATTAAGCATAAATTCTAAAAAAAAAACAGAATTTACTTGACATAATCTCTGTGTTATTATAAAATGTAAATTAGGAAGTATTTCCTTATCCCTTTAAAATTACACAGATGTGTTTCTGCCTGCCTGTCATACGGAGTGAGCAGATTTAGTACATTAAGAATAAGGGGATAACATATTTGTGAAAATAAATTTTGCATCATTTCGTGATTTATTCATTAAATAAATGAGTTTGTTATCACAACTATCGAAATTTATAAATCACTAACCAACGGATGGATGAATGAATATCTGTCCATGGTATTAGTATACACAAATAGAAACTGCATGACAGGACATCTGATTTATTGTAATTATGTTTTGGTGAAAAAGAAAATATTTTTGAGTCTGTTTCCACCAAGCATGTCGTCTCTGTTATGACTGATATTGTCTGAAAGAAATACCGAACTCTGCAACACCATTCTGTTGTGGATAATATTCGTGAAATAATGTCCGACAATTCATTCTGCATTTTCAACCTTTAGCCGAAATGATTGTGGAAAAAATGTTACCGTTATTCAGAAATTACTACTTCATGGTATCTTACAAAATCTGAGGTTTGAATGTAGAGAAGACAATATTGCAAAAAACGAATACTGGTGCACACGCAGTTCGCTAATGCTGGGTATTTAAATCAAAATGAATATTTATTATTTAAACTTATTAGTTGGATAACTAATTTGTTGGTAGATGATAAAATGTCTACTATCTCTTGCATCCAATAACCAGAAGTACCCTCAAGACTACTTAACCAGGAAAGGCAATCTTGTGTTTATTTTTTTATTCCTTTACATTCCCAGTGGAACATAGGGCTTCAAGATACAGGCTTGAAGTTTCGGTAGCAGTGGTGTTTATTTTTACGGGATGGGGCTGCCAGTCTCATGCCCAACCTTCCCTCTTTACCAGTCTTATTACTGGCTTAGTGAGGTAAAGGGGTGCGTTGGTGGCCGGGAATCGAACCCCGGACCACCTTCGTGGTCAGCGAGCACTCTCCCGCTGTGCAACCAATGCATATGTTACTAATTAATTTGGGTTTTTTCTCACATGTTCACCTATTGAGACCTGAAGTTTTTAACTGTTTATCATATAAGACTCCTGGCTGCTTGGTTCAAGCCTCAATTAAAAACACTATCAACGAATTAGATGCACTGTTTATCTAAGAAATCTTAAGCTAAGAGAAATATGTATTCCCTGAACGGATGCTACACCCCCGTTAAGACAGTATTAAGCAAGTAAGAATGATATAGCTTTGAAAAATTCCACAGATATTGACTCTCCTTAGTTTCCTATTTAGAATTAATAAACAAAAAGAGGAAATTTATTGCTGATGTTCAAAGACAGTGGAAATACTGCAGTTGCAGTCAGCTAATTATCAATTGTTAAAGCGACAAAAGAAACTTGTTATCACTTAATTACTGTCTGTCCTCATTTTCATTCCGGACAATCTGCTTGTTCTAATATTTGATCTCATAGAAAGAGCAATATTATCTTACCTAATTTAAATTATGACTTTCAACTTCATACCTGTGAGTAACTAGAAGCTCATCTGAGTAGGCAGATCGCATTTATCCACATATGAATAAATAACTATTAAGATTAACTGCCTATCATTTCACCATTTTATTCAACCTCATTCGGTTCCGCCAACTATATATTACTGTTTCTGATGTAATTGTAATTTTACCTCTATCGGGTTATTTATTGATTTGGAATTATAAAGACTGCAGAATTTATTGAAAACAATTAACCATCCAAATATCTCTTGTTTGCATTTATCTAATTGGAATTTCTGAATTCTTATTTTGTATATTTTAGAGAAATAGATGATGTCTCAATCGACAAACTACATTTGGATATATGGTGAGTTATTAAGCAATTTTTGTGCAATTTATTTTTTCTGTTTGAAAGTCAAGCTCCTTATTTTACTTACATGCATTACTGCCGTTTAAATATATGACTGTTGAAATAAATAATTGCAACTGGGGTTACATGATAAATTTCAACTGGAGAAGAATTTTTAAACGGATGAAGAAATTTGATGAGTTTATTCTTAAAAGTAGTGTTATTTCCTAATGTTTGAGAGAACATTAAAATGTGAGCAGCCGTAGACAGGGTTTCGGCGTAGTATAAGGAAACCTACCTGTCCTAAGTAGGTCCACGAAGAATTCAGTTTTAGACGAGTAATCAATACGATAATTGTGGAACACTTGATTAAACGCACACCTTCCTAATAATCTTAATAGCTTTTGAACTCGACAGTGAACCGCATGGATTACTTCATAGTTACACTTTCATCTTCGTTTCCTTGCCACTTTTGTTCCAGATATTCATAAGAAACGCTTTTATAAGAAATTAGCAAATATGCTAGAGGATTATCGTTTAAAAGTATGTATCCTGTTAAAATTACACATTTGATGATACACTCATTAACTTTGGTCTAAAATTCGAAAGTGTTGTAGTGACAGAGAAACAAGAATTCAAGTTCGGAAGACAGTAAAGTTGATAAAAAGCTGAGAAATGAGTGTATTGCAAAAGATTTTTACCTCCCTCCGCTTACTTGAAAGGGTAGTTGCTCTTATATGATTTTGTATTATGTACTTAGTGGAAGGCTGTAATTACATCACACGTTACTTCTGGCTGTTTTGAAAGTATCTCGTTAGCTTTTTTTACTCCGTCGGAATGTGTGTTGCCTTGTTTGTTATGCTGTACGAGAAAATACCTTGCGATTACTTTTCTACTTACCCAAAACAAGCAAGTTGGTCCCTTGTTCTGTTTGACGTAAAGTTTTCTTTCCGGGAACTAATTTGAGTCTGAGAAATAATCACCAGCTTACCACCTGTTGATTCATTTAACAGTCGAGTAATGTTCTAACATTTACTTCTGTTTTCCAAAAGAAAAAGCATTACTATGGGTTAGTGGTGATTGAAGGATATTTTTATATGAGTTTTAAGTTAGAGTAATTAAGAAAAAATAAATGTCCGGTATTTTTGGTGTCTCTTAAGGTATACTCTGGATACGTTTCAATGTTAAAGCTCGAAAATGTGCACTGCCACTTAATAAGCCTACCTTTTCATCACCTGAGTTCTCAGCCTAGCTGCAGGATAAATTTAATAATTAGACATGATGCAATTTGGGTCAATATTTCAGAAGACAAGAGAAAACATGACAAGTATAAACGGACAGAATGACTGCAAGTTTTCTGGGAAAGTAAAGCAAGCGGAACAAATGAAGTTAAGGTTGACGTCTAAGAAATATTTAGCTGATAACATTCAAGGATTTGCAATAAGAACGTTACAAAGATCAGTGTTAAGACAGATAGCATCAGCAGGATACCTTTTTTCCTGTTTTTTGGAATTTTCTGCTTCAAAAGTTTTAACTATTTTATTGATTACTTTACATCTTTATTTCTATTATGCCTCACTGAAATTGTAATTACTGGTGATGCTCTAACTGCAGTAGATAGACATTACTGTGAAGACAGTAAAACGTATTTTAGTGTATAACTGTGAGGCAGAAAAATGCTGTTAAAGGGTGTTTTTCCTAGAAAAATGAGTTTTTCTTTTTGAATGTCACCTGTTCATCTGTAAAACTGGTGTTTAATAGGTTCAGATACTTTGTAAAATTCAAAAATTGAAATATTGAGAAAAGCAAAAGTATTTAATTCTTAATAGCATCTATCAAAAACACCAATGTCAGGTCATTTCTTCGATATGGGTTAGAAACTTGGCACATCACGAAAAGCATTTTCAACAGTTTGTAGACCTTTATTGCCAACCGCCTTTGCTTGCTCCATATTGAAGATCAAATAACCAGAAAGAATCAGCAACAAGAAACTATGGGAACAGACTAACTTAGAACTTATAGTTGAACAAATATGTAGGAGGAGATGGAGATAGATTGGACATATGCTGAGTAGACTGTCGAATGATATCGCGCGTTATACAGGCCGTTACTCATGTGGAACCCGAATGGGAAATGACGAGTGAGTCGTCCGTAGGGTGACGCGGAGGAGATCGTGTGAGGAGAAGATGAGAGATTATGAACAGTCGTAAGCCCAGTCAAAGAGGACAACAGCAAATAGAAGAAAGTAGTGATGCGTTGTTGAAGCCGTTTGTTCCATTCGGAATCCAAGGGAACAATAATAATAATGATAAACATTTATCGAGGGAAACTAAACTGTGTAAAGATTTTGTTCCCTGTGTATTGACAACTCAAACTGCACATTGACTGAGCTCTGGATTGTGACCATTGTCACTTGTCTAGTCCTTAGTAGTGCTGACTGCATTGAGGTTTGGAAGCAATCAGTAAAAAGCACGGAGTCCAGGTTACGTCCTTACTGGCAATTCATCAACGAGAGTATCTGCAGCACCACAAAAAGGTACTCGAGCTGCTGAAAGCTCGGTAGTAACGTCTCCTGGTGATTGCCTTCAGCCTGCTAATAATACCTGAAAATCTGTCATGAATACTCATATATCAATCAGCTCGAAATTTAACTTTCTAGAGGGTGGATAATTTAACAGAGAGCTGACTATCATTACATAGTTCACTATTAAAATATATATATTTAAGCATGATAATTCAGGTACGTGATTACATTTTGTATAGTCAGAGGCATAGGGATAATTTGAGATTTATTCCATGCATTATACAATCATGTGAGATAATTAATGATCAAAGTTTAGCTTTTTTATATTCTTTGTAGAAGAACTTTGAGCAAATTGTTATTACATTTAGCTAAGAAAGAAGTAGAACGTCTACTTTTATATAATTTAAATGTAATAGGAAGGGAAAAGTAAATGTTCACTGTGTTTCTGAAAGGAATGACAAAAAACAGATTGCATATACACATTACTTTGATCATTCATGCAAAATGGTTGAAAATGTCTACACAAAGAAATGAGTCTATGTCAATCATCGCCAGTGTTATCATATTGTTATTAATTACAGTTATCCAAAGTACATAATTACTGTCTTTTAACCTGAAGCAGTTTGATAAAATTATAAGGATTATTTCTCGACTAAGACCACGGATTGATATCAGTTAGAGAATCGTTGGAAACTAGGCAGTAATGGACAGGTGTTTCATCCTAGTTTGGGAGTCATTGGCAGTAAGCAACCACTGGGTTTCTAATCCAGGACCTCCCAGTTACAAGGCAAGCTCGTATACCATTCAGCCGCTGGGACCTTATTCAATGGCCAGCCCATGAACTCTAACTCCTACGAGTTCATGATTTTAGTGCCACCGCGGACCATTGTCGTCGGCGGGAACTCCATCCACACTCCATCCCGACTTGACGGACCTCACTGGTCAAAACTTCTCACTAGGGCCCCAGAAAACTCCGTCTTGTAGCAAGTCACTAGAGACTATCAGATTAATTTTCTTGAAAATTTCTTGAAAATATCAGAATTGTTAATAATACTTATGGACACTCACTCATAGCTGAAGGAACCGGTAATGCTGTCATGTTCATATGTTTCAGCCGCTAAGTAATATCCATTTAACGTTATTTTTCATTGTATATTGCCTTTCATTGCATTACTCACACCACAAGACTACTACCATGCTGTCGTTGAATACTTTCATAACAATATTAGCTTTACTTCTTCACCAGTACTTTCATCTGAAAATATGACTCGTTATACGTTTCTGAATTGATGACAAGTATGGGTTCATAAGATTCACAAATAAAAACTTTATCAACATAAAGTATATGTTGTAAGTGACTTCAATTCGAATAATAGTTGACTGCTGTTGGGATGTATGATTACTGTAAGAATATATTCAAAGATGTATTTACGTGTAATTACTGTATCTAACACGTTTTACATGATTATGTGAATGGTTCCTTTTTAGTCAGAATTGCACTATGCAATTTGTTTTTGTATAACACTAGCTACATGTGGTCAGTTACACGTAAAATATACTAAAGTGAATAAAATTTTTGATTGCAGCAAGTTGAATGTCAATAACAACATCACTAATTTTATCTTATATTTCATCATAGAAAAGAATTATAGTCTGTCACATTATGGGTGAAATTGAGAACGACGATTCTTTTCCATGATACTTGTACCCTTTTCCCGTACAATACCAAAATAAGCTATCTTATTTAAATTTCCTCCGGCTAATTTATGTCACAATTAATTATATTCATATATTGGGTTGTTTATCTCTAAGCATCAATACTTTCATCAAGGTTTGAGTTTTGAATCAACAATCATTTTGTTATTTATAATTCGTATATGTCTTTTATGAAAAACTTTTGGTAGGTGAACATTTTGAAGATTGTTTCTTTCATTGAGTCATATCGATCAGAATTATGTCCATATTGACTGTTTCATGTTCTACTTCGTTATCCTTCTTGCGTATGAGTTACAGTAAGCGGTAACTGAAACACTGTAAGTTTACACGAAGAAGTCACACTGGGACTGTCGTTGGCTTCATGGAGCACTTTATTTATCATTATTATTTTTATTCCTTTACATTCCCAGTGGAAAATAGGGCTTCAAGATAGAGGCTTGAAGTTTCTCTAGCAGTGGTGTTTACTGTTACGGGATGGGGTTGCTAGCCTCATGCCCAACCTTCCCTCTTTACCAGTCTTATTACTGGCTTAGTGAGGTGAAGGAGTGCGTCAGCCGGAAATCGGACCTTGGACCACATGCGTGGTCCGCAATGACTGATTTGAATGCCAGGAATTCAAGTTTGAGAGAATTGCCATATAACTTTGCTATAAGATGACATGAAGGAATGCGAATTTCTTTCTAAGACTATTAATAGTAAAAGTTTTAACTTTTTATTTTTACAAGGTAGGGTTATATTCTTTAGATTATCTCTTAACAAACACATACTTCTCAGCTAGCTGTACCGTTTTCGACCCTTACTAAATGACGTCTGAACTTGAATGAGTGAATAACAAAAGGAAGGAAAATTATTTGAGTGAACACTATGCAAACTTCGAAGATTTTTTCTGTGGACAAAGCTGGTTTTTTATATTGAAGAGATCACCAGGTAGTGAAAACAATTATTCCTTTCATGTTTCTTAGTGAACCTAATTTTTCCTTAGTTTTCATGTATACCTCGAGTAGATATGCTGTATGTCTTTTGACAATGTATACAATTTGAATAATGTGTTCTTGAACATATTTAACTTTCTGAAAATCAAGTCAGACATTGTGTGGGCTACTTATAATGCACGAATTATACAAGGTCACTTCGCTGTCTTCACTAAATGAAGGAATATATAAACTCATTCAGTGGATCATAGTTCTTTTCAGGATCAAGCCTACGGGTTTTGTGTATAGCGATATAAGAACTGCTTTTGCCTTCCTTAGTTATAAGAATACAAAAAACTGAAAACAAATTTTTGTCCGCGAATATAACAATCTTTCAGGAGGAAGTTGGATGTAATAATTACATCATTCAGTAAAGTATCAGACACTATGATACGTTGGAAAGTTTTTATAATTGTTATGATAACTATGATAGATTTAATTCCATAATTATTTGTTCATTAGGTACATCACACAGTGAAATAGTATTATTTACTGTATGACTTATGGAATACAGTGTATTGTTCCTGTTCACATTAGCTGTAGCAACAATACAACTTAGAGACTTGGTTTGCAAAGTCCTCGTTCTTCTTTCTTATTCGTAGCAAGAGTAGTAGAATTTTCCAAATATCTGGGAGAGGTGTTGCCTCATGTCTATAGCACATATTTTTCAGTTGATTGAAGAAATAAGGCTTCAGTTATCCATCTTTCTATCCATCTTATTACACTAAATTTTAGGAATATCACTCTGTCTCATCCTGTGCAACTGCATGTGACCCCATCCTACTATTTCAATCTATGTAACTGACTGCACAGTTATCATGGAGTACCAGATAATCTCAGTTATTTTGCTTAATGGGCTCCACAGGATCCTTTAGCCGACACAGTTTGTTTTTAAGTAATTTTGTGTGTTTGGGTACTACTCTTATTCCTGCCGTGTCGACAAATCCAGGTAGGATTTCAGAGGTTCCTTCCTACTGATGTGATCTGTCCATGTTTCCATGATCATCATGATTCTAATCCTTCGTTTTCTTATATACTTCCTGTTCATTCTATCTGCATAACTGTTAAGTGCTAATACTTTTCTTGTATGTCATATTTCCTTATTTAACTAATAATACTCATATCTACACGAGGTGGGAAATACCGAAATTCATTTTTCGGTTTGAGTATGCAGCTGTTTAATTTCCCATCTTGTTTCGTTTTTATGATTCAATGCAACATTGGAACCTCCTCTGTGTAACTTTCCAACTGATATGTTAATTGAACTGCATGTACCGAACACAATAATTTAACGGTATGATCTATTCATATGAGAATATCCACTTGTGTAGGTGATCGGTGGGTTAGCATACTTTTTGCCCAAGACACCAATGGTATTCTAGCCATGACATTCAGAGTAAAAAATATTTCAGAATCCTCTCAATAATTATGCACTTAATGTCACTAAGAACATAACCGAATAATAGTGATAATTAAAAGAAATATTTAGCTTTATCTGGGAAGATAACACGCAGTCCTCATTTGAGACGATCAGTCAGCTGAAACACTCATTTTTTGCTGCATTTCCTATTCGTTTTACAAGGTGAATGTGAATACTAGAGCAGTGTAGCTGATGGTTATACGAACATCTCGTTATTTATTGGTGTCATTTGAAAAGCATTACTTAAGTTGAAAATAAAATTTCATTTTGAAGTGAATGTTAATCTAGCGAATAGGTGTTATTATGTTATGTTATGTAGCTGAACACCTGGACCATTTAGTAACGGACAAATTTCAGTGTTACTTTCAGGTACCTGGAAATTTAGATAACACTGCCTTATCAACTTGGCACCGTAACGGACATCAGGAAATTTCTGCCCAACGTTCTGAAACAGTTATAGAATTTCTTCTGGAAGTGTACATATAGAATCTATTGTGTTTTACCCAATTCGTGTGAAGATAACATTACTTTCTACGCTTTACTTTATTTTGTTCATTTCATTAGCATTCTTCTTCTTCTTTTTTCAACTGTAAACATCCAGTGTGTTTAATTTGTACTTGTCAAGTGAAGACAGAAGTGATTTAAGTGAATTTCGTGTAACTTTTCAATGCTGAGACATCTAAAACATATAAAGCCTCTCATGCTATATCTCCATATTAGAGTATAATAGGATGTTTGTAAAAATCGCTGGTGTAAGTAGGATAAGAAACGGATTATTAATTTATTCGATTTAATATATTTCTTTTTTATAAATGCCTACTTTATCAGTCAGGAAATACTTTCAATTGAAGACTAGATCGTGCATTCTTTACAACATAAAAGTTCTGAAAGATTTTTAAGTGATTTTAGCTGTTATAAAATTGCAGGGAACAAAAAAGAATGACTTAATTATTTCTGATGAATAGATTTCTTTTCATCTGGGGGAAAATTGCGTGTCGTAATGTGTTACTTCACAATTGGAAATACTTTTAAGGCATACAATCTTATTAAATTTGATATCGCCAAGATGTTGAAGTGACTTTTCTTTATTACCAGGAATTAGTTTTTTCTTTAGAGAAGGAATTGTATGTTAGTTTGTGTGGAGTTTAAAACAGGCAATTGTAAAGCAAAAGGAAGCAGTTAGAAAACGGCATTTAGCAATTGGTGAACATTAATAGTTCGCAGGAATAGTGGGAGAGTAGTTTATGAATATAAAATAGACGACTTCCGTATAGGCACGTATACCTCAGGAATCGTTAACTGGAAAGAACACAACTTTGTATTCACTGGTTCCCTAGTCGATATCGATTCGGGACAAAATCTCAGTAATTTAAGAACCATATATATACATATATAGCAGACGAATATTATGAATGTTTAATATACAGCGTAGTTTTAATTTAGCCTAAGGAATCAACCTGAGTTTTATTCTAATGTAAATGTTTTGGATTTAGATCAATAGTGAATGTGTATGTTTGTAGTTATGAGTAAATCATGTCTGTAAGACATCATGTGTAACGTCATCCATCAGTAAACTGAGCAGATATTCGACTTTTGATAAATCATATTTATTTGTGATATAATTAATGATATATCGTTATTTTTAATTAATTAATTAATTAACTAATTGTATTTCATGTGATCACTTTACAACAGTTGCTCTCCTGTATCACAGACCTAATTTAATGCACCGCTTTATGACATTAAATATATACTAAAAATTGCTGCCTGATATTTACACTGTATTTGAGTTCAGATAAAGCAATAAGAAGACGTAATTTGTCTGAATCGTGTAATGTATTTGCGCAACACATTTCGAAACATATTATAGAGACAGGACATAAAAATGACTTTAACAGATCTTTTAAACCTATCTATAAAACGTGTTTAGGGCATATCCTTAAGTTTGTGGAAGCCCTAGGAATTAGAAAGTTAAAACCACCTTTATGCGTTCGAAAACAATTCGTCATCACGTTAAACCTTCCTTGGTAAATTTTGTTTTGATACCATAGCAGATGTACTATTACCTCTCCTATTTGGTTTAGTCGTCCTCATTGTTATTTTGACCTTGAATATGTCCTTTTAACTTGACCTAAGTCTATTTTCTCACCTCTTACCTCTTTATTAATTTCATATATATTCCTGTGCCAAGTCCGTGTGTGATCAGATTGTTCGAAATGTGTTGCGCAAATACATTACACGATTCAGACAAATTACGTCTTCTTATTGCTTTATCTAAATACAATGAGTCTTAAATTTCTTTTGGCATGTATGTATGTATGTTCTGTAAGATATTATGTAAATAAATGGATAGATTACAGTGTTATTGCTTAAAATGTGTTGCTAACAATTAGGAATGACATTGAGAAATTATCGGGTATTTGGTTTCAAACATTGTTTACTTTCATTTTGCAGGGATCATGATGAAGAAACAAGTGTTTTAGAAGCAGTTCGCAGTTTGAATGAAATTCGAGGCGTAAAGCAACTAGGCCGTTACTTTAAGCAAGTCAGTCAGTCTGCACGTAAAAATCAAACTGGTGATATGGACGACTTTTTGGGTTGTATAACAATAGATATAAAGGTAAGTGTAGAAATTAGACTGTATATTATTTTCAAAAAGAAGAATTTTCTTTTCAGTAAGTAATCAGCAAATAACATAAGCCAGATGTAAAGATATGTTCGTTGAAGTGTTTATAGTACAGAATATAGCATACTGTCGTTTTCTGTAATGACCCATATTAACTATAGATTAATAAGATTAAAACAGTTCCTTGAGAATAAGACTTCTATGTCCAACAGCAATTTAGGAATGCAAACCACAGAATAAAAATCATGAGGGTTAGACAAAGATTAAGCTTATTATTACGCTATTATTGTTCACACGAAAACAGTTTGTGATTATTGTCAGTCAGACTTCCTTATCATTCATTTCAGTTACCTAACATAAATTCTGTCAAAAGACAAAGTTCGATATGTGAAACCAAACATGATTAAATCTGCTAGATCAAGGGAGTTGAGAAGAATCATCTTTGTTAGCCAAGTAAAGTGAATCGACAAAAGTCGGCGTCTGTAATAATGGTTCATGGAAATCACTACAATTACAGTGTTCTTATTTCAGTGCAATCATTTAGGAGGATAACTTTACAGTATAGTACATTAGTCTAGTGAAATTAGACTCTAATTTCTCGGTAAAAAAAGAAAGCGTACTGGAAATCTGATTTGTCTAACGCAATCTTCTGCAATGCCATTTCGAAGCTCTATAACAAAATCACTGAAAAGTTAGAAATTTGTCACTTTAGCAGGGTTCACTTTCTAAAATTAAAACTGATTGTTTTATGAAATGCGTGTCATTGTATTGACCTCTGTAATCAAGAAGAACGTAGGTGACAAGCATTTTAATGAAAATATTTGTATGTCTTTAGTAAACCGGTTGTATTTCTGCTTCCTGATATCTAGGCAGTAACTGATTTTTTGATAAGTTAAAATATAGGGTGCTGCTATCCATACGTTCTACGGTATGATCACTTCGAGGAAAATATTGATAAAATGTTGGTAACTGTTTGATTTTACGCAGATTGTTTTTTCTAATAAGTTCTCTAAAAATAAACACTTTAAGAAGTTTGCTATGTAAATTGTTTGGTAAGAATCGCTTTACGAATGCTTTGTCTTATATTCTAAGATGGAAGTAACATTATTTTAGGATTGCCAAGGTCTTACTAGTCTTAACGCATAGACGTCTTGTTCACATTTATGCTGGAAAGCACAATGCATTCTACTAATGCTCATTAGGAATTTGAAACTACCATTCCCAACCAGTAGTGTATTTCGTGTAGTAGATCAGGTGGAGAGTTTTCTCATCAAATATTTAGATAGTAGGTGATTTATGTACACTAGTTTAGCCCAGTTTTGACCCTCGGCTGACGCAATCTTAAGCCTAACTAGGCTGGTCGAAAGCCCGGTAAATACGAACGATAGAACACGGATCTAGAAACTCCACCAGGTTAAAAAAACAAATCAACGCTACTGAAACTTTAAAAGCTGAAACCTGTAACCCTATATTTTATTTGAGGGGCATAGGAGTGAAAAAATGTAGCTTGACAATAGTTATAAACAAGTACAACAAAACTGCTCACATCTTCTTGGACGGATTTAAAATATGCTGATTGAGATTAGCTAAATGTATATATATGTTTTGATAGTGTGGAAAATTCCCATATTATGAATTAAAAGTCAATCTGAACGAAGAATATTCTTTTCAATAATTTCTCTTCAGGTTCTTACAATTATAAAATCTAATATTTGTTGTCGTTACAAAAACGGCCAGTGATGCGGCGGATACATTTTTAACGTAGAATAACAGATTAGTTATGGGGATGTCAAAATAAATAGTCGTATTTGTGTGACAAACGTTCTAGGCTGAATTCGATTACAAAATATTGTAAAACGGGAGACAATGGTGATTAATCATAATAGATTTGTAGAGTGTGGGGTAGGAAAATTGACAAGTCAGTTCAAGGTTATAAAAGGTGTCAGGTGAGTGGCTAGTACAAAGTGGTCTGTGTTAAACAGGAGATAGTAAGACTGCAATGGGAGGTTCATAATGAGATAACGAATATGTGAAATGAAACAGGTGGAGGCATATATTGAGAAAAGAGATAATATCACTAATAATAAGTCCGGATAGTATAAACGAAAAAATTCGATAGTATTGAGAGGATGTTTGCATGAAGGGCATAAATTATGTAGAATAATAATAATAATTTAATAATAATATTTGTAATAATAAGCAAAGGAAAAAAAACCAAGAGAGTTAAGGGGAAAGAGCACTCTTAGTGAGAAGAAGAATCATCACTCCAAGTTTGGCCACGGTAGGAACAGAGTCTGGACGTGTTCTTTTTGGATACAAAGCTCCGGTTTAGTCGATCTTATTGGAACAGCTTCAGCTATGTATAGGAGACGTAAGCGAACTGTACGTGATAACGACTTCGGAATTCGGTATATAACCCTGAAAGCTGTGTTGACATCGATATGATGTCCAGTATCGACCAAGTGTGACAGGATCGAGCTTTTTATGCACTTAATTTCCCCCTTGCTGAATCAAGCTGGTAAATGTTCTCGAACCCGTAGACGAACCTGCCTAATCGTGCGCCCTATATAACTTGAACCACAGGAACAGTTGAAATGGTATATGCATGAAGAAGAGCTAAGGTTAGGTAAGACATCTTTGAGTTGCTGGGTGAACATTGGATGGCTACTGAAGGATTGACACAGACGTGCAGAGTAGAAAGTTTTCTTGATCGCCCGACAACAAATATTATATTTTATAATTGTAAGAACATGAAGAGAAATTATTGAAAAAAATATTTTCCGTTCAGATTGACTTTTAATATAAACATGTACTGAATAGCTAAAGTCCTTTCAATCATCTAGTCATCTGTGCCCACACGCAGGCCACATTATACAGCTGAATACATGCAATTTTCAAAGCTATCAGTAATGTTTCTTTTATTTATGACTGCTAGCGTTTTGAACATCATTCGATTATGTGAACAATAGTGCCCAGTCTTCTATGCTTTTACAACTGATTCCTAAAGTTAGATAATTAGGAATTCAGGAGTAGTCTCATCACTCAGTAGGGTGGGTGATTAGGCATATGCAAATAATTAAATTACGTGTCAGGAATTCACTGTATACATTCTGATTCCTTCATGTAGTTTGTTTATTTTGTCAGTTATTTATTATAGTCGTTAATTGTTTTTGTTATCAATGTTGTTTCACTGTTTTAATGATTAACAAACTGTTACTATAGTCTGCTGATTAGTTATGCAAACCAGCTTAAATGATTCAGTCGTTGATTTGCTGTTCAGTAATGTTTATGACGCAGCTGCCTACTCAAGCATGAATCTATATACGTATAAACAATCATTAATTACATAACGTTTTTGTAATGAGACTGAATTAACGCATAAAACGGCTGTCCTTTTGTTTTACTCTAAACAATTTTAGTAGCTGTAGTATGTAGGAAGTAAATAATAGCCAACTAAGTATAAATGTGTACTTTCAATTCTAAGTAGCTTTGGAAGTTTGCTATTCACGAATGCAAATTTCTCGAACCAAAAAAGGAAACAGTGATAATTTGGGCTATGATGTGATGAGCACTTTTCGGACTATAAACTGCTGGATATTCACAAAATCTGATTTGCTTGATACCATAAATGGCAGTCAAGAAGGCAAACAAATTATCGGGATGCTGTAAACTACTGATAGAAGTACCTAGTAGTCAGTAATCAAATCTGAGAAGACTTTTCATCTCCTCTCGGGGTCGTGTCCCACCAGTGATGTACCAGTCTGAACTCAGATAAGACAGTCAAGTCAGCTCAAACCACCTAAATACTTGCTGGCTACCTGAGTGAACTGTTAATAAATGGAATTAAATTCGTCACTCGCAAATTACACATTTCGAGGGGAATTGCGAGCTGGTGGTTTGAACTAACTCAGCTATGTGAAGTGGGACAGAAATGGACACCCTACTGATTAGTTTGATCCTAAATGACCGAAACGGCTCTCTGGTGTCTACAGCACTTCGATCTAGCACGCAGGCAGTTGACTTGATTTGATCATAACTACTCAAATCAATCAATCAGTAGTAAATAGTATTTCGGACAAAGTAGATGTTACTCTAGAGCTTGTTTTCAAGCATTCCTGTAGCCGAAAATCCGCCTGGTAGTTGATAAAAACTGCACAATCCTGAAAAGTGACTGAATACTGAGAAGTTTACAACGAGAAGCTAGGCGTGATATATTACATCGATTTTGTTCTCAATGTTTGCTTCAGGTTCTGATAGAGAGTGAATAAAATCTGATGACTGAGTTCCCAAAATATATGTTCGCTTATGATAACCTGATCACGAATATGAAAATTTGCATAAATAATAACAAAGTTCGTGAGTTTATTCGTCGTTTAAAACAAAAAGTTAAGTGTTCACATGGATAAAATAGATATACCTAATTTTGTTGGGTCTGTTCAATTGATGGTAACCTATTATATCCACTGAGTGAAATCATAATGAAATTTTAGTGTGTTTAAATAAGATTAGGAAACTAATTTTGGGAATGAGTGGAATATTTATTCAAAAATAAAGGGAAACTGAATAACAACTACAAGGTGCTATAATTATTTATCTAACTCAAAGTTTTCGTAGCATTATGAGCTTGAAGAAACAAAGGGGATTGTTACACAGGTGAGACTGATTCAGACTAGTTCTCCAGGCATAGTCATCAATCCAGTGTTTACAGTCTAACAATTCTCCGATGTATGAATGTGGGAAATTATAAAAAATCATAGGTATTTGCCACTTAGTAATTTGTTTATTAGATATATTCCACAGTAAAACAGTACTATAACTTTCGATGTGATTGTGTTCTCTGAGCTGGATGGTTTATTCGCGAAGCTTTCATTGCTCTACTAGGCAACATCCTCAGCGCACACTTCAATTTGAAGTCAGCTTTTAGATTTCTCCTTGAGTTTATTAGTCATCTCTCCCAGTGACCTAGAACGTGATTGGTTGTTTCCGTGTGTTTTCACACCTAATAGGTTACTTGTATTGGAACTGATTGTTTCTTTGACCCTTTGTGTGTGAGATATTTTTCTTATCGGTTGGTAAATTTTGTCTATCTTGATGTGTCTATTGATTGATGATTCACTGGAATGCCAAGCTTCTGAAAATTATCTAGAATTCTTGTTTTCTCTGTCTAACATTTGAACGTTGTCCCAGTCGAATTGTTGTCCGGGGTTGTCTGTATGTAGTGATATGAGGGAGTGAATGTCATGTCTTTGGACGGCTAGCTTATGTTCGTGGATACGAAGAAGAAGAGGACGCCCACTTTGGTCAATGTAGTGTTTTTCGCAGTTGTTACAATTTATTTTGTAGATGATGTTGGTTTTATCTTCTTTCGCTGTTGAGTCTTTTGGTTAACATAAAACTGAGTGAGATGATTTTGTTGGTTTGCGTGCGACTTCAATTCCTAAAGGTTTGAAGAGTCTTGCAGTGATTTCTGAGATGTCCTTTATATATGGTAAGGGTATTTTCTTTGTGCTTTCCTTAGGGGCCTTTGATTTGTTAGGTTGACTTGGAGTATGTGTCTTCTGATGAAATTCCGTGGATATCCATTCTTTTGGAAGACGTCCATGAGATGTCTTTCTTCAATTTTTCTTAAGGTGGGAGTGCTGTTGCTACAGTACTATATCCCTATGAACACAATTTTTTCTTCATAACCATATCATAAAACTAAGCATGAGAAAAACACCTTACAGTTTGTTCAAGAAAGGCTCAATACATTTCTTGGCCTGGTTGAAATTATTCTCACTGACTGAAAAGCATAACTTTGCAATGGACAGAGAAAACCACCTGTAACCGTATAAAATCAGAATACTGCTAATCGTGCCTAATTCCCTTCTTGCTGAAAGTGGATTCTGTGGATTTTTCTAAGACTCTTGTAAATAATAAGAGTGATATGATTGCCCTCAAATGTACGCATGAACGAAAAATGTTCACTCACATGAAAACAATTTTCCTTGTGAGTTCATTTCGTAAATGTTAAAATAGGATAAAAATTGCAAAACTCATCTCAAAAATTCAAACAATTTTTTAACACACAATCTTTTGCAAAGCTGTTCTAATTCACTAACCAATAATAATAAACGTTTAACAGAAAATTCATTATATTCAATAATTAGAAGTATTTACCCACTATAATGTACACCTAGCCTTTTGAACCAACTTATATCTATTGATACCATCGAATCCCCTATTGTAGAGTGCTTAACTCCTAAATTCCTGATTTATTCTAGAAAATGTTAGTATATAAGTTTTGGGGAATATATTAAACCATACAATCTCCAATTTTTTGATACAAAGACTGTTTAAGTGCGTATCTTTCAACTGGAGAATAAAATTTTGAATTACCGTCCTTCTGAAATCTATGAGATGTAATAAATAGTCATTGTATTCATGAAATTAATAACTTCCCTTGATGGATCACAATAGTCAATGAAGTATTGATTCATTTACCAGAGTTCTGATGTCAAATGTCTTACTAGTGTCCAGTTGAAGAGTATTTTAAGTATGTTTCAGGAAACGTAATACTTATTTTACCTAATTTTAACTATTCAATTACTCACTTTGCAGTATAACTACCTTAAGTTCGAATACAACAAAAGGAGTTTCTTCCATACATCTCGCATGCATTACCAAAAGTTGGAAGGTTCTCTTTCATGTTTCAGATGAACACATTTCTACTTAACGCTGCTAAACAGAGCATTTGTACTCCATTGTAGGATATACCATCCACAGGTTATGATCGTTGGTTCAAATTAGAGGGTCGGTCGAATCGTTCAAGAGTTCAAGGTGAAATTCATTTGGCACTTAGTTTAAGTGCACAATCGGATGTGAGTGAATTTGAAAGTGATAAGACCGTTGGAATCCAAGAACACATTCAATTATATTATTTATTCATGCTTCATCAAATAAAGCAGGAAAATGTGAGTACTTATAAATTTTTTTTAAAATTCATATTTTTAGAGATGTAGTAAATGTATTTTTATTGATTTTCTTCTGTTATACTCAATGATTATCCCATTTTGAAACAGTAATTTCATACAGAATGTAGTGTACACGTTACTATGTTACAATACATCTCATACGAGAAAAGAATTTGGGCACTGTGGCAGGGTATAGTTCCACCTCAGAGTGACGTTATTTGACAAAACACAGTGATACAGTATTATTTGCTAACGGTGGTGTTTCGAGCACAATTTATTGCTCATGATCTTATCAAAGCATTCACATATTGTTCAAATATCATCCATACATTTACATAAGCTCTTATCCTTTGATTTTATTGGCAGTGATACTTTCCACATTTCTGATATCGTTGTTGGGTCATTCCTATTGCGCATGTTAGGTGTAGATACTACAAACAAGCATTTAGTCATCAGACTCTTCCACAACCTACCTATACTACTTTTTTGAATTGTAACTGTGCCCCGCCTTATTGTGTGATTGTGAATTAACGCATGCATTACGACTGCTCAATTTCCCTCTAAGGTGGAAGTCCTTTTTGGTTCATCATTTTACCCTTAGCTATGCTTCCATAACTTAACTGACTCATCTTTTTTATCAAATAAAATTACTTAGGATGGAATAATAACAAATTCGATATTTTTTCAAACGAAATGAGGAGAAACAACAACGACAATAACATTGAAATCGTTTAACTGATTTAACGCGGGTCATTTGATGTGTATTTGTATGCTTCATTGCACGCTGCCATTCATTATGATATTTTCTTTGGAAATAATGAAAACTGATAGGTTGAAATATTTAAAATCTAGTGAGAATAACACGTTTTGAGGATACCTTTGATTGACTGAAGCAGAAACGAAAGAACCAACTCAGAATTATGTGTCCCATAAAAAGGAGTATTGTGGTGGCTCGAAATTCAGGTGGTCGTAAATAAATCATACTTTACAAATTTTCATGTTCAAAGTTAAGTGTTTGCACATACCGTTTAAATTTGTACTGGTTCACCAGAGACTAACAGAGGTAATTACAAATACTGTGTGCCACCTCGCTGTGTTCGCTAAGTAAATGTGCCCTTATTACAAACTTAAGGGTTGCTTTATTCCCTTTAAGCTGAGCTTGGACAGCTTCAGCTCATGTGGTGGTATAGAATATGTAATACTGTTATATGCTTTTAAAAGACTTTGTAGATAATATCACCGTAAAATAAATAGATTATCTTATCTGGCAAAAACTTTTCTTCAATTTCTACATGACAAATCATCATCCAACAGAAAATACAGGGACATTTAACTGTCTACCTCAACTTCAACATCTCTGAAAGGAATTTTTAGCATCTGCAGTGAAGTAATTTGGAAGGTACTTCAACACTACGAAGTGCCAAGAAGATTCATTAACTTCACTCGAAAGTTATACAATGATGGAACCTCATTCCAAGTTATTCATAAAGGAAAGTTCACCGAAGCATTTGATTTCAAAAAAATGAATAAGGGCAGGCTTTTTCTTATCACCAAAAATCTTCCTGAATTTCCTGGTAAGGATCAAACGATAGACAGTGAGGGATGAGAATACAAAAATACGTCCAACTGATACAAAGATGCAAGAAGGTCTGGATTCTGTGGATAATTTATGTCATATGCTACAAAGACTCGAAGACATTCAAGCAGAAGCAAACATGTTGATGAAGAGGCGGCGGAAACACTTCTTCGGGTGAACATAAAAATGACAGATGTGATGAAGATACTAGACCGCCAATGACTATAGTCTCCATAGCTCATCTAACAAACATCGTCTTGACTACAGGCGGCGCGGATGAGGTTTTAGAGGCGCGATCTGAACATCAATATAGGTGCTGATTACTATAAAGTAAGTGTGGAGATATACAGCACGCAACAGAAGAAACAACGTCAGAATTTTTAACTTTTATATCAAATTAAGTACTTCTACATAGTTCATTGGCTCCATACGTGCTTCATCGAAACCATTTACAATAGTCTACCGCAGCCTTTCATCAACACTGAGGACTGGAAGATTGAAAAATATAGGTACACAGCAGGGGACTCTAGCAGGCAGTAAACGAACCAAGAACCTATTGACCAACAAGTATGCGGCTTACACGCTGAGAAGTGTGTGAAGTGAAATGACACAGTGTGGAGGCCTTCTAACGGATTTGGACGGCTTATAAAAGCTATTAGCTCAAAATGCACTAAACAGATGTATATTTCAGAAAAAATTTTAATTTGTATCCGCGAAAATGTCCTGGGGGTTAAAATAATCGTTTAAAATTTTGTGATGATGGTTTACGCAATCACATTTATTTTAATTGTGACAATACTTGGAGTAAAATTACTTCTTTTGATTATATCAGTCGTCGACAGATTGTATGAAGAGATTTACGAGTGGACATTTTATTCTAAATGGAGATATTTTAAGTTCGTTCCCTCTATTTAGTAAAGCATTCCAGACTGTTGTTACTTCTGTGAGGTACAACTGTTACACCTACCTGGAATCTTCACTTTCTTCCTTTTACCTAATCAGGCTTAAAATGCATACATTGTTTGAAATTAAGGTTTTTTATTCTATGTGTCTGCAGACAACGTTGGATCTTATTGTCCTAATTTCTTGCACTCTGGTCTTCATTTAGTTGACATTGAAAATGTTAGTTAGACAACTGCTGTCGATGTAACAGTGGATGATGTTTAAAAGTGATATGAAAATCTGGTTCGATTTTTATCTAGTGCAATTTCAGCTGACGAGTGTATGTAAATACTTCATGGGAGTGGCTAACATGTTTACTTTAGGGAAGGAAATAAGCGTACAAATTTGAAATACAAACCAGCACTTGAAAAACTGGTTAGAATCATTAAAAGTAGCTTTGATATACCTCGATATACTGTATAGATAAATTGCGGAAGGCAGTGTAAGCGAACCTGAAATGACTACCATGAAACATTAGTAAAGAAAGTTGAATCAGTTTTTCAACTGAATGGAAATAACGTAGATAAAATTTAAAACATCATGTCGTGAATTGATTGAATCGGTTGTTCACAAATAAGTTGGTATAATTTTTGAAGATTTATACTGATCATCCTGGAGATAATCAAACAAGCACGGGGTGAAAAAAGGCGATCAGAACAGGCTGGATTCAGGAGAAACAAGTCATGAATTGATCAGATTGCCACATTACGGATCATCATTGAACAAAGCCTGGAATGGCAGTCACCTCTCTATCTCAACTTCATCGACTTTGAAAGGGCCTTCGACAGCATCGATCGAGAGGTGATTTGGCAACTACTTCGCTACTACGGGGTGCCGCCGACAATTATACATCTCATCCAGCAGTTGTATGACAACGCTGCATGCCAAGTAATCCACAACGGGAAGCTCACGGAACCCTTCGAAGTGAGTACAGGAATAAGACAAGGCTGCCTACTATCACCAGTGATTTTCCTGATTGCAGTAGACTGGATAATGAGGAAACAGGCATAAAATGGACACACACAAAAACTTGGAGGATCTAGACTTCGCCGCTGATATATGTCTGATTTCCCACAAACTGGAAGTTGTACAAGCGAAAAGCAACAAGTTGGCAGAAGAAGCACTCGGAGAAGATAGGACTTCAGGTGAACATAGAGAAAACAGACGTGGTGAAGATCCCTGGGCAACACCAACAGCAACAATAGCAGCAAACAACAATCAGCATAAATGGAAGGAACCTGAAGGAAACAACCTCCTTTACCCACCTGGGAAGCATCGTTTCAACTACAGGCGGACGGAACTGACGAGGATATCAAAGCAAGAATCGGAAAAGCAAGACAAGCTTTCACTACTCTCAAGTCTGTGTGGAGGTCAACAACCCTCAGCATCAAAAATAAGATCCGGATTTTCAACTCCAATGTGAAGTCAGTCAGAGCTACTATACGGATCAGAGACTTGTACTGCGCGTCATAAAGAGCATCTCAAACAAACTACATACCTTCATCAACAGTTCTCTTCGCTCAATACTCGAGATCACATGGCCAGAATAGATCAACAACAGGGATCTCTGGGAGCAAACCAACCAGGAACCGATTGTGAAACAAATATGCAAGAAGAAATGGAGATGGATTGGCCATACATACTCTGAGGAAACCGTCAGGTAACATCACTAGACAAGCCATAGCTCGAGTGGAACCCGAAAGGGAAGCGGCGAGTTGGTCGTCAGTGCAAGGGTGACTTGGGGTAGGTCATGTGAGGAGGAGGATATGAAAGCATATGGGTAGACTTGGAGCGGGGTGAAGACTCTAGCAGAGAACCGAACGCAATGGAGACGCATGGCTGAAGCCCTATATTCCCCTAGGAATTAAAGGAAAAAGTAATAATTAATATATCGAAAAATACCTTTTTTTCGTATGCAGAAGCTTAATTTAATTTTTCCTTTAAATTCAAAGGTTTTCTGTCAATCTACAACTCAAGACTCAATATGACTGCAGTAATCACAACTCTACTAATTCTTGTCATAGTTATAATAAGTGTAGTCAGCCCACATTCAGGCATTTAATAGGCATTTAATTAATACGAAACGTTATCAGACATAAGCATCAAATTTTCCTTAATCATTTCAGAATAATACTGTGAATAAGGGATATTTTTAAGGTAACCATAAATACACCTTTAAAACACGCAATGTCACATTGACATGTGTTAATTTCAATTAATTTTACTGGATGAGACTGGTCCGTCTGTCTATTATAAAATTACCTCTCTGTACTGGTTTACACGGGAGTTATTATATTCATATTAAATGTCTGCTTAATATAACTAGTTTTCTTAAAAAGATGTCTTACATATCAGGCAACAAACCTCAGCTATATGAGGGTGAGTGACACTAACCATTTGGCTAGGTCGAAGCAGGTTAAAAGGAGACTGGGACACGAGATGAAAGTCGAGTAAATAAGATAACAAGCCTCATCACGTAGGA